ACTCTTGAAAAGGGATAGAAGTATTCTTCTCCATCAAGTCCCATCTGCCTAAAACACTCCTTAATGCTAAATCGTTCGGAATGTTGGAGTACATAAACGAAATGTCAAATGAAACCATTCGATACTCATCCCGCAAAGGTAAACCATTAATTTTCTTAACCAATTCAAAGCTGTTTTTAATGTAACCGAAATTTTTCTTGTTATTAAGACTTTTGTCAATGATTTCTTTCAATAAAACAGCTAAATTATAAAGAGGACTGTTGATGCAGCTGACAATCATTCTTAGCGGGATGCCCTTCTTATGTATTTTAGGCAGCCCATAGGATCTTGGTAGATCCCCATCCGAAATATACAATTTTTTATATGCATATTGATCAATAAAGCCCTTCGATTTCTAGCATGTTAAAAGAGATCGTATTTCTGTGGTCAATTTATTAGTAGGGTCTTTATTAATCAATCTGTACGTGTTATTGTCAGAGAGTATATCGTGCATTTTGTCTAAAACATGCATTTTTGCATTTTTGTAAAAACGAGGAAAGATAAAATAAAAAAAGATGAACTTTCAAACGTGGTATACCAAATTAATTGTAAGGATTGCGATTATTCGTACGTCGGTCAGACGAAAAGGAAAATAAAAGACGCGTTTAAAGGAACGTATTAATGATTTTAAAAAACCAGCTAATTCTCACTCTGTTATCTCAAATCACAGATTGGACACAGACCATGTGATAGATTGAGATAACGCTAAAATATTAGATTCGGAACGCTCTCATTATAAAAGGTTAATATCTGAGATGATTTATATTAAGATGCAAAAAAATGGTTTAAATAAACAAAGCGATATGGAACGGTTTCCAGATCTTTATCTCCCTCTCCTCGAACAATAGTTCCTTGCCCCACTCAAAACTCTTTCCCCTTCCTTTCCCTTTTCTTACCCTTCCTTTTTCCTTTTCTTAATAGACCAGCGTTTTTTGGCTTTTGTCGTTATTTGCAGTTCAAATTCACTCTTTAACTAAAATTGTCACAGTGTTCAGTTATACATACAGAGGAGTCTTTGCACCCCAAGATACACGTAAGTTTGTTCAGTTGGTTTTTCAAAAAAATAAAAAAATTTTTTTTAAATAATTCTCTGGGTGGAATCTAAACAGGAGCATATTTCTTAATCTGATTGTTTTTTACAATAATACGACGATATCTAATTTACTTGTT